ATTAAAATCAAAGACAAAGAAAAAACAATAGAAAAGTTTTTTTTCACCAGGGTGACCCCTACAAATTCTTTAAGGTGTCTCCTACTAATTTCTCCAAAATCCCAATGACCCGGGTAAGAGCAACTCAGCTCTTAACACAATCAAAACACTTGTTGCTGGGGTTTAATATGTGAATAATAGTAAAAACAACACAGACTTGTTTTGTCTTACCAGCTCTGCTTTAGAGCAGTTTCTGTCTGCTGCACTCTGTGGACACGCCATGATGAATAATACATTTGTCACGTACCTCAAGACTTTATTTGAAACACCTTAAGAAGTTTAATAAATTCAATAAAACTCTATCAGTGAAGCAACAATTAAATGTTTTAAGTCTGGTTAGATAAATTACTTAAATATCTTAAATCTGTAAAAACCTGTTCTGATCTCATCACCAAACTTCATTCAACTTTTGCCTCTTTTTATTTTCTTCTTCCTGTAGATTTTTTGTTACTTGTTAAATAAGTTCAGACGTCAGTCAGGAAGGAGTTTGGGACTTTTACTGAAGTTCGGCGCGGTGGGGGTGGGGTGTGGGGTGTGGGGGGGTAAGACCAGGGGGTGGACTGAGGTGGTTTTTCTTCATGAACCCAGCTGTAACACTTCAAACATGACAAATATTTTTAAATTCATCATGACTCTGGTTTGAGTTGGTTTATAACACATTTTAAACACTGCTGTAGAGCTTCAAGCTTGTATTTATCAAACTAACTGAAAGAGACTCTCAGGAGAGAGCGAACCGTTCCACTAAAACCGATCATGTGACTCCGAAGGGTTAATCATCAAATTAATTGTCATCGGATAAAATATTGCTCAGCCTGATTTCTCAGGTGAGAAAGTGGTTGAAAGCTTAACCACAGGTCAAAGAGCAAACCTGAGATGCACAAAAATTCTAAATATAAAAGTGAGTTTTTTCCACTCACCGTCTCAGGTGGACTCAGGTGGTCTCCAGAGTCCCACTACCGGTCTTCGTAGAAGACCTGAGCCATGGCCAGAGCCACCTTGGCTACTTTCCTCTCCTTGGCATCCGGACCCATGTTGGAACGAGCGAGTTCGATCCAGTACAGCTCCGTCCGGGTCTGGTAGTCCGTCAGCGTCTCTCCTTCCTGCACGGCAGGGTGCTCCTCCTCTTCATCACCTGGAGACGTTCAGACAGGAAGTTCAGGTAAATTTAAAGTGCCTGTGACGTGCATGTTCTTCAAATACAAAAAGTCAAAGAAAACATCTTTATATTTAAGAAAGTTGGAACAACACACACGATTTAACTCATTTTATCTCATAACTGACATATTTTCTTTTGAACTTGGCTCAGTCAAAGTGAAACAGGAAGTGACATCAGAGGGGACTCTTTAACAAAGAAAAACTCTGGTCTTTGTTTAATGAAACAATTTTATTTGAACTCTGACTCAAAATAATCTAAAGAAACATCAGATTCTTCTCTACAGTCTGGGTTGTTTTTTAACAACACTCTGTTTACATGCTGACATTCCCCTTTGACATCACTTCCTGTTACTTCACAGGCAAATATCTCAACAACTGTTCATCTCAGCAACATGAAATTTCTTTTGCAGTATTTTATCACATTCCTCTTTCTAAAAATGCATTCATGTGTTACAAAAATTTGACGTCACAGACACTTTAAAGGATCAGTAGAGAGAAACTTTATCAGACAAAACTCTAAAGCTAATCGGACATCTGTGCTGTTCGGATGAAGGGGGCGGAGCCAGTTTTACACCACAGCTGACGGTGAAGACTGAAGCAGGACATCCTGCACTTGTCCCTTACCCTCCTCGTCTTCGCTGTCCTCCTCAGACTCCTCCTCCTCCTCTGACTCAGACTCCTCCAGCCACTCCTGCGTCTCTGAGGAGACAAACAGAAACCAGAATGAAAACTCGTTGATGTTTTAAAGTTATGACTTTTATTTTTTAAATTTTTTGACAGCGTGGTTCTGATCAGCCGACTCACTCGGGTCCAATTCCACCAGAACCTCCCACTGGTCCATCTTGTGCAGGTCCAGGCAGTAGAAGTCGCTCAAGGTGAACTGGCGGTCTCCGACCTCGAACATCCCACCGAACAGGAAGAGCTTTCCCTGGCGGACCGTAGCCATGGCGCTGGACCGGGGGCAGGGCTCCACCGCCGGGGCCGAGGCAGAACCTGAAAACATAGAGTTCACGTTTCGTTTAAAGCAGAGATTCACCGCGAGCGCCACCTTGAGGGCCTCAAAAGAACAACAGTTTTAAACTTTGGGCCGCAGGACCGCATTGATTTTGAATAAGGTGCAATACACTTTCTCACCACTAGTAGCAGTAGTGCACCACTCAGATGTTTAACAACTTTTTTAATACATAGAAGAAGAAACTTAGATACCCACAGAGAGTGGAAACCTATTTTAAATGAAAAGTAGAAGCAAAAATGAAAACAAACCATCAAAAAACACCAAAGTTTGTCACTAATATGAAGAGCAGCTTCTGATTCTACCATGCAATATCTTAAAAGTTCAAAACATTATCAAATACAGCTGCAGATACAACTTTATTTTAATTTGCACTTTATCTAATTAATTTTTGTAGTTATTTTTAAACATTTTGAATATAGTTTAAAGAAACTTTAAACTTGTCAAAAAGCTGTTGTTACTGTCATTGTCACTAAAATAATTTATATTCATCTTTCTTGAAATGAAGATCAAAAGAAGCAGAAGGCAGATACAAAAAATATAAAAATAAACTGATATGGATTATAAGAAAACATAAGAAGGAAGATCACAGTGATTTATTAAGCAAAAGTAATGGTGATACTAAAGTAACATGAGGAGTGATGAATAGTGTTTTAAAAAAGCATAAGGTACAATCAGGTATTTCACAATACTTTGTAAAAGATAATAAGGAACTTTATGAACAAAATGAAATAGCTAAAGAATTCAATCATTATTATGTTAATGTTGGTCCAAGTCTCGCTGCTCAAATACCTAAAACTGATAATGTGACTGAAACAATCAGGGTCGTGTTAACAGCATCTTTCTTGGTGAAACAAATGAGGAAGAAATAATGAGTGTGGTAAATAAGTTTGGGGATAAAAGATCAAACGATTGGGTGAACATGGACATGATGTTTGTTAAGGAAATAATGAGCTGTTATTAACAGAGTTGCACATAAGTGGTGTGCAGGTGCGATCAAAAAAGAAAAAGTGCACCAGATGGAACGCCATGAAGCTCCCTTGCGTACCTAAGATTGTACTGAGATTGTGAAAACAGCAGCTAGCAGGGTCACAAATGTGACCTGATTTCTTAAAAACAAACAAAACAAACAAAAATCCAGCCTCACTGGTGTGACTGGATCATCGTTCTGTCAGGAGGGCAGCGGGACCCTGATGTGTAAGGATTAAACGGACACTGCTTTCAACGAATCAGACGAACTCCAGAGCTGTTTTATCCAATCAGGGCAGAGCAGGGCGGGACTTTCAGTCAGAGCAGTTTTCAGCAGCGGCTGCAGCGATCAGTCCTGACATCTCCTGCACTTTGCTCCTGAACTACCAGAGACTTTGGTCTGTAAAACCTAACTTTATATTAAATATATGTTCAGAGCGTCGTTATCCAACAGATCTGTCCAACTTTGTGTCAGTAAGGCCTCAGGACGCGCAGGCTGAGAGTCTTTCTGTGAGATTCACTGTTCGTGTTCTTCTAAACCATATTACTTCTAACAGAAGAACATTTATTTGCCCCAGAGATGAGTTTCTGTTTAACGTCACCCTCCAATACAAAAATAAATAAATAAAAATAAAAAATTGCCATATTCTGAATATGGTAAGTTATGGAGAATATGGAGAATTTGAGTTTTAAATGTTATTTTAATTTATCAGAAAGATCCACAATTTTCGTTCTTCACAATTTTATGATAACAATAAGGTTCTTGATGTGTTAAACTTGTTTATATTTAGAATCAAACTGTGACACAACTGCTCTGGGATAAATGTAATTCTATAAATGATAAAATATGAAGAATAAATAATTTTAAATGATTACATGAGCTGAAACCATCTAGATTTAATATTTTTGTATAAAATAGTATTTTAAAAAAGATATCAGTCAAACAAATAAAACATTTGTTCTGTGGAAAAGACAGATATTTGCTGCTCGGTCTGGAGTGTGGAAAGCTGGGGTTTTTTTTTTTTTGGAAAAATGTTTTTTTGTTGCACATTTTGTTGCAAAAGATGTTTTTTGTGGCACATTTCTGTAAGTAACAGTCATTATGGATTTAGAACCAATAACTCCACATCAATGGCTCTTATGGAACTGATAGAACAAATAACAAATGCTATCGATCAAAAACAATATTGCGCCAGTATTTATGTTGATTTGAAGAAAGCATTCGACATGATTGACCACAGCATTCTACTTAAAAAACTAAATAAATATGGGATTAGAGGACCAGCATTACAATGGATATCTAGTTATTTGTAAAATAGGAAACAGTTTGTACAAGTACATGATGTAAGATCTGAACTCTGTGGAATCACATGTGGAGTTCCTCAGGGTTCTATACTTGGACCAAAGTTGTTTTTCTTGTATGTGAATGACTTGGTTAATGTGTCTGGGCTCTTTAAATGTGTTTTATTTGCAGATGATACCACTTTTTTTTTTTGTTCGGGTGAAGACATAGAATGGATGTTAGAGAAAATGCAAACAGAACTTGTAAAAATAACTGGTTTAAACTTAATAAATTATCACTCAATTTGGATAAAAGTAATTATATGATATTTACAATGAGCAAAAAAACTGTTAATACTTCATTTAGAGTTGGTGTAGACATAAATAGAGTCAGTGAGGTGAAGTTTTTGAGTGTTATTATTGATGAGAAACTGATGTGGAGACCTCATGTTAATTACTTAAGAAATAAAATAGCTAAATCTACTGCATTGCTTTATAAAGTAAGGGACTTGTTTAATGATAAAGTTCTGTATATGTTATATAATGCATTAATTGTTCCACACTTAGTTTATTGTGTTGAGGTATGGGGTAAAGCATGTAAGACTATTACACATCCTGTTTTTGTTTTGCAGAAAAGAGCTGTAAGAGTTATCACTCGAAAACATTACTATTATCCATCTAATATATTATTCTGTAAACTGAAATTATTGAATTTTTTTGATTTGGTTGATTATAACATTTTGTTAGTTATGTATAAAGCTCACTGAAACACATTACCTTTAAACATCCAGAAAGACTTTGCAAAGAGAGTGAGCTAATATAATCTAAAGGCGACAGAGACGTTCATGAAACCTAAATTTCGAACCTGTTTGAAAGAACGGTGCAGCTCAATCCAAGGAGTCAGATTGTGGAATAATCTGGAAAATGTTGTTAAAAGTGCCAAATCAAAGTACATGTTTAAGAGAATGATAAAGGTTGGATTGTTGAAAAAATATGAAACAGTATAATGTGTAACCATAAAATTTGTTGTTCTATAAAGATTTGATGTTCTTGTTTGGTTTTGGTAACTAAAGATTACTATTGTTTACATTGTATTTGTATTTTCTTTTATTTTTATTGTACTTTTTTTAATGAAATGAATAAAGTTAAGCACAAAAAATGAAAAGCAGCTTCTGGTTCTACCGTGTAAAAGTTTAAAAAGTCTTTATTTTCATTTGTACTTTATCGAATTTAGTTTTACAGGTTATTTTTAAACATTTAAATTGAACACTTTGAATGTATTTATTTTATGACCACAATTTTATTTATTGAAATGTCTATTTTGTTATATATTTTTTGTGTTGATAAGCCTGAGTGCTCTGTTGACTGACCGTTTTTATATTTGTTCAAATAATTATGGGCAGGTTACAATATAAAACAACGTTTTTCATAAATCATGTTTTATGATTAATTGACAGGAGTTTTACTTTTAAACTGTAAGTGTATTTAATTTAGTTATAATGTAAATACAATACAAATTAAACCAAGATTTAATATAATTATCATTTTAAACCAAGAATTAAAATAATTACAGCTTTGATCTGTATGGTAATGTCTGACTGGGTCTTGTGTCACTTTTTGTTCAACAAACTGGGCCCTGAGGTCAAAAAGGTTGAGAACCTCTGGTTTAAGATCTCTTGGTTTAAATTCATGTGTAAGTGTAAACATACCATCATCCTCCTCTTCCTCATCTTCCTCCTCCTCCTCCTCCTCCTCCTGAGGACCTGGGATCACTTCCTTGATGGTCATCACCGTGCCGTCCTCGGTGATGACCTCCTTGATGACCTCTGTCGGTCCCTGAGGTCCCGCCTCTTCCTCTTTATTTCTCTCCTCTTCCTCGCCATCGGCTCCAGTCTTCCTCCCCCTCCGTCGTTTCTTCTTCTCTGTTTTGGTTCCCTGAACGGAAACAGGACTTTTTGTTTTACTGAGGTTCTAAAGTTTGATGTGAGTCAGTTAGAAACAGTAAAAACTCAAAGCCAGAGTGGAGTTTTTACCCTGAGCAGACCCGGGAACCAGCGGTTCTTCACCGTGTCGAACAGGAACAGGTCGTTGTAGAAGTCCCCCTCCAGCGTCTCCTCCTCTTCCTCATCACAAACCCCACCGAACAGAACCGCCCGGCCCGCCGGACCCACTGCCAGAGAGAACCCAGAGCGGGGAGGGGGCTTGTTCCCAGCTGGGTTCAGTCTGGACCAGGACCACTTCTCTGCAGGACGGTGGAGACGAGTCATGAAGTCCATCAGCCTGAATGCTGAGTCATGTTTTACTGCAAACAGTTTCTGCTGAACTCAAACTGCTCCTGCACACTTTGTGCTGTTCGTCAAAACTCAACTTTTAAAATATTTTTAATATTTTACATGATCTAAAATAAAATTACCCTTAAAAAAATATCTCATTAGTTTTTTAAAAATTATTTCTCTTTAAATCTGCTTCAACATACTGCTCTGGGTTTGTCTTTAAGCTACTTTATTTTTTAAGCTACTATTCTGATACTTTTAGCTTAAAATATGTTTCATTTAGCCTTTAATTTGCTACTCCTTTTAGCTAACAATGTTTCTTCTAGTATATAGTTTGGTACTTTTAGCTAACAATGTTTCTTCTAGTATATAGTTTGGTACTTTTAGCTAACAATGTTTATTTTAGTTTTTAGCTTGCTACTTTTAGCTAACAATATTTATTTTTTAAACTTTTAGTTAGCAGTACATTTCTTTTAGATTTTAGTGTTTTACTTTTAGCTTACAATATTTTCAGTTAGCTTGCTTTTCTTAGCTAACAGTACTTCTTTTAGCTTTTAGTTTGTTACTTTTAGCTTCAGCTTTGCTAATATTAGCTTCTCTTTAGCTAATGAAATGTAATGTTTTGCTAATATTAGCTTCTCTTTAGCTAATGAAATGTAATGTTTTGCTAATATTAGCTTCTTTTAGTTACATTTTGCTACTGTTCTGCCAATTTTAGCACCGTTTTGTAATTATAGCTTTAGCATCTGTCTTGTTTAATGTAGTTTGAGGATCTTTTACTCAAAACTTAAAGTTTTCGGTTCATAATCGGCTCATTTTAGCATTTATTTAGCTGTTATTTTGCTCTGGTTTCTGCAGAGATGATGATGATGAACGTTGCAGCAGGTTTGTTTCGTACCTTGGCCATCTTTTCCATCTCTCTTCAGGAGGAACATGTCGGAGTGGATGGTGCCCTTCTCGACGTCCTTCTTTACCCTCTGCAGAAAAAAATCAACACGTCAGCCGTCACAGAAGACAGATTCTAACAGACGGACACAAACAGGACACCCACCACTTTAGAATATCCTCCGTAGATGATGACACCTGCACCGTCAGGAGTGGCGGTCATCTGACAGGCCGAGCGCGGACAGGGGGCGGAGCCTGATGGAGCGAGGCGAGACCAGGAGAAGGTGTCCAGAGAGAAGGAGTAGATGTCGTTGTAGTAGATAAAATCCCTGCAGAGGCAGGAGGGTAATAGGAGGACATTACCTTTCATTAGCTAAAGAGAAGCTAATATTAGCAAAACATTAACTTTCATTAGCTAAAGAGAAGCTAATATTAGCAAAACATTAACTTTCATTAGCTAAAGAGAAGCTAATATTAGCAAAACAATAACTTTTATTAGCTAAAGACAAGCTAATATAAGCAAAACAATAACTTTCATTAGCTAAAGAGAAGCTAATATAAGCAAAACTGTAACTAAAAGTAAACTAAAGGCTAAAAAAGCGTACTATTAGCCAAAAGTACCAAGCTAACTGAAAATATTTTAAGCTAAAAGTAAAACACTAACATTTAAAAGAAACGTACTGCTAACAAAAGTTTAAAAAGTAAATATAGTTAGCTAAAAGTAGCAAACTAAAAGCTAAAATAAACATATTGTTAGCTAAAAATCGCAATCTAAATGCTACAATAAACACATTATTGGCTAAAAGTAGCAGCAAACTAAAGGCTAAATGAATTTTAAAAAAATTTAACTGATTTTCAGTAAAATAAAAATCTGAATTCAATTTTTTTTAGTTTTGATGCTCATTGATCTGCTAACTCATAATCTGAATGTGTTGAATTCGTCCAAGCAGTTGATGAAATGATTCATTTACACAGACAAGCTGGGTCATTTCTCAAAAATAAATCCTATCTTTGATGGAAAGCAGGAAGTTGTAATAAAAACGCTGGTTGTTTCCTCTCTTCAGTCCCAGGGGAACACAAACACAAAGTCTCTGTTCACCTCGTGCTCTCATGGAAACCACCGAACACCAGCAGCTGCTTCTTGCTGAGGACCATCCGGTGCCCGCTGCGACCCGACGGACCCCCGGGTGCTCTGGGAACAAACACATCAGCTGCATTTACTCAACATCAACAGAAGTTTTCTTCCTTCCAGTCAAATCCTGCCTTCCTGTTTGTTATCAGGGCTCTCTGTGCAGTACGTACTTGATGTTCTCCCAGGTGTGCGTAGCCAGGTGCAGCACCCAAAGGTCCTTGTAGTGGTAGAACTGCTCCCCGTTGGGAGACGCAAACTCCCCCCCAAACACCCAGAGCTGGCCTCCCCCCTGAGGGACCACCACCGCCTGCAGGGAGACAAGAAGGGAGGGATGAAACAGAGGGGAGGAGTGGGTCTGTGAGAACTCTGCTGCCCCCTAGAGGCTAAAAACTATCACATTTATCACAGTAACTTTACACAACCTGAAACATCAGCAGACGGTGTAAAAAACTGAAAAATAAAAACCTGATTGTACCTGGTGAGAGCAGCGAGGCGGAGGAGGGTTGGGAACCTCCGATTTAACCCAACTGTTCTTCTTAATGTTGTAGAAAAACAAATCGTTGTAGAGATACATCTGCAAAAATAACAAGAATAAACTAAACCTCACAACTAAAACTGCAGAAATTAACACAAAATAAAGAAATATTACAAATAATAACAGCTTGTTTATGGGTTTGGAGCAAAAACCTGCAGGAATAGTTGGTAAAAGTTACCTTTTTAAAGAGTTTAAAAAGAAAAACAAAACATAAAACTTGTGGATGTTTGTTCTAATCTGTACGGATCATAGTAAGGATATAAAAAGGTAAAATAATCTTTACAAAATATTTTTTCCTGGTAAAAATCCTGTGCATAAATGTGACCCATCATATTTAAATGAGGATGAAGTCAAATTTGGTCAAAATGACCTAATTACATTTTCAGATTCTTGGCTTTAAAAGCTACATTTTGATACCTGGATCATCCTGATATCATAATTAAATCCATAAATATGACTTAATTTGTCTTGTTAGTTACAATAATACAT